TCAAGAGAGCAGGCGGCCTTGCCTTTCCACCCTGCTTGATAAAAAGTTCCTGTCCTTTTTGGGCCCAGAGTTGATCAGTCGGGGTGAGGAGAGGATGCAAAATTTGGTGTAACTGGGAGGAAGACCTGGGAGGGGCTATTAAGTCATTTAATGATCTTTCTTCCTTCCTATCCCCATCCTCAGTATTTTGTCCATTTTTGAAACGATCTTGCATTCCACTTTAGGACAGCTGGGGGTGGTAGGTATTCTTTAAGAAAAGGTCACTCGTTAGTGCTAGGAGAGAGATGGTAGGAAGCTGTGTTCTAGAAGTGAGTCTTAATTTATAAGAGGGAGCTCTCCTTAACCAGAAGCAGGGTTATATATTTTTAAATTAGCAAATGAAAAGACGTGACCACGTAGTACCAGTAAAATTATTAATTATTGAAGACTCTAAATGTGCTTTGTGAACCTAAACTATTTGAATTCTCCGTGGCTTCTGGAAGGAGGGTTGTACTCCATTTGGAAGAAGAGGAAAGGAAAAAATATGTTGGTCTGCTGTATCTGGTGACGATATGATAGGCTTGTAAATCTTCATGTTGGGTTTTTAACTCCACAGTCTTAGTTTTTTCGTTTAGTGGCACCGAAGGAAGTTAACAGGATGAGCTCCAGAGGAGCGCCATGTCAGAAGCCATAGAGGCGGGGATGCTACCCGCACCCTTTGGGGGTTGCCTTCTTTGTTTTCCTGCCGGAGGCTCTTACAAGCAGCTGATTCTCCACTGAGAGGAGGTCAAAGGAAACAGCAAAGGAGCCAGTTTGAACGGGTGGTGTTGGTTGGTAGGAGGTGCCTAGAAGGCAGAACTAAAATCTTTAGGTGGAAATTAAAGAAAAGTGAATTTCAAATCAGTGTAAAGAATGGCTTTACACTAGACCAGCAAAAAGGGAAAGCTGTTTTGTGAGGCAGAGGTTTTTGTCATTACAGATGTTAAAGAAAGATTAGTGTGGCCTTTTTGGGGAAGTATTCTAGGGTAGGGATCAGCGAACTTTTCCCGTAAAGGATCAGATAGTAAGTATGTTAGGCTTTTTGGTCCTGTGGCCTTTGTTGTAATGCTCAGCTCTGCCCTTGCGGTGCAAAGGCAGCCACAGGCTCTCTGTGCACAGCGGAGCGCGGCTGTTGTCCTAGCCTGCTTGGGCCACCACAGCAAGATGCCGTTGACTGGGGGCTTCAGCAGCAGCAACTGATTTCTCACAGTTCTGGAAGCTCAGACGTTCAAGGTCAAGGTGCTGGCCGATTCAGTTTTGTGGTGAGGGCTCTCTTCCTGGTTTGCAGATGCTACCTTTTTCGCTGTATCCTCACGTGATGGGGGTGGGATGAGGAGAGAAAGATAGATAGATAGGTGGACATCTTCCTCTTTTTATAAGGCCACAGTCCTATCAGATTAGGGTACCACCCTTATGACCTCATTTAACTTAATTCCCTCCTGAAGATCTTGTCTCCAGATACAATCGCATTGGGGGTTAGGGCTTCAGCGTGTGAATTTTTTTGGTGGGGGAGAGACACAATTTAGTCCATAGCCGCTGTGTTCCAATAAAATTGTGTAAATAAAATTTTATTTACAAAAATAGGAGGTAGGCCAGATCTGGCCCGAGGCCCCTAGTTTGCCGGCCGATGTCTAGGGAATCAAACATCATCAGAAGGTGGGCTGGGTGAGCTATCAGCATACTTCTAGTGCAGAAGTTCTATGGATCTGTGCTGCTATGGTTGAAGACTCAGCCAAAAGACATATTTGGTGTCTGTCATAGCTTGATGTCATCAGAACAAATGCTCCCCTATGTAATAAGACCCGTTCACCACTGTAAAAATCTTGACCACCACAAAGACATGGTTTTGGGGAAATTACTTGGGTGAAATTGGTGTAACTTAGGGGTTAAGTGTACAGTCTCTGGTTTCAGACCGTCTTGGTTCATATCCAAGCTCTGCTGTTTAACTAGCTGTGTGACCTTGGGCAAGTTAATTTATCTGTGCCTCAGTTTTCTCATCTCCTATAAAATGATGATAATAATAGAATTTACCTTATAGCCATGTTGTTATGCTTAAGTAGGTTAATACATGTTGCGAGTATAAAACAATGCCTAGCTCATAGTCAGTTCTTGAGAAATGCTATTATTCTTTCTTTCTTTCTTTTTTTTTATTGGCACCTGAGTGAACAACTGTTGCCAATCTTTTTTTTTTTCCTGCTTTTTCTCCCCAAATCCCCCCAGTACATAGTTGTATATTTTAGTTGTGGATCTTTCTAGTTGTGGCATGTGGGATGCTGCCACAGGATGACTTGATGAGCGGTGCCATGTCCATGTCCAGGATCTGAACCAGCGAAACCCTGGGCCGCTGAAGTGGAGCATGAACTTAACCACTCGGGCGCGGGGCCGGCCCCATGTTATTATTTCTTGAAATAAGAGATAGTAAGGGAAGCCAGAGGGAATATGATAGGGAGCTAAAGGTCATGTAACTGTCAAAGATTTAGGGATATTTTAGAAAATCAACAGCTTTGAGTAAGATTGGAGCCTGTGCTTCTGTTTAAATACAATGAAAATGCCATAGAGGGAAAACTGAGAGACTTAGTATATACGTGGTAGGAGAAAGGTATCTTTAACAAAAAAGTGTGGTTGTCTTGATATATTTCCCTGTTTCTTAGAAAAATTTGGAGGCTATGGATCGGTAAACTGCAAAATTGGCTGGATCAGAGCAAACCTAATTCAGGGCTCATTGTCTAGCATTCCCGAGTATGGATTATTTAATAAATAAAAATAGTTCTTAAGTCCAGAATTCGTTTACTTCAGTGTGCGTCAGAGCCATCTAGACTTCTGGCTGATGCGAGATGCAAATGGTGAGATGTGGTGCATCAGGGCTCCCGTGGGTCTGCATTTGTGAGGAATGCCAGTTGCGAAGTCTTTGGTCATTGATCAGCATACAAACTTATCTTTTCTTTCTTTTGCAGTAAAGCCATGATTATCAATCGCCTCCTTATTGTAGGAGAAGGCTCCCTAAGATATTTCCTAGCTGATAACCTTCTTCCTTCTTCAGAGAGAACAGAAACTCCCTCAGTTTCTCGTCATGAATCATACAAACTTAAGTACACTGGCACTGCCACTGCTCTCCTCCTTTCCGTGGCAGGAAGGAATGAGACGTTTCGTTGGTGGCTCTGACGCACTGCCCATCCAGCCTTTTTGAGCGCTTCATCTCTGGTTCCTCCTGTGTAACCTGAAAAACACGGGTCTGCTTTTCCACCCTGCTCTTGCCCATGTCTGCTTTGGCATACTGTCTTATTAAAAACCAAAATCAGAGCCAGCCCTGATGGCCTAGTGGTTAACGTTCTGCACTCTCACCACTTCAGTGGCCCAGGTTCGTTTCCCGTCGCAGAACCACACCACCCGTCTCTCAATTGCCATAGTGTGGCGGGGGCTCACATAGAAGAACTAGAAGGACTTACAACTATAACTGGGGCTTTGGGGAGGGAAAAAAAGAGGAAGATAGGCAACAGGTGTTAGCTCAATGTGAATCTTTCCCTAAAAAAAAACAAAAACAGAAGAATTATTTTTCTTAATTTAAAACAAACAAACAAAAAACACAAATCCAATTCTGGAGACATTAAACAAACAAAGTAAATTTAATGGATGATGGAGGAAGGGGTTATATTGCACATAATATGAAACACTACTTCAAACCCTCTTGAAGCTTCTGCTCCATCCCCAGACTCCACTTGCAAAGTCCCGTTCCTTAAGGCAGCCGTCTCTTCTTCCTTTCCTCCCTATCACCTTCCTCTTCAGCCTTGCTCCCTCCTCTTTTTCTTTTCCTGCTCTCTGTTCCTGGATTTCTTTTCCATTCTCCAGGTGCAGTATTTGCAGTAGCCTAAATCCAAAATACATTCTAAGCGTTATATTTAAATACAGTGAATATTTCTGGTGCCTGTAAATTGTTATCTTTTTGCACAGATAGAAATTTAGTGTCTCTGCTTCTTCCATTTGCATCCTGGTATATGACTGTGCTGGGACCCCTAGTGATTTTTTAAAATGCAAGTCTGATCATGTACGCTTTTTGATGAAAAGTCTTCAATGGCTCCCCATTGATCTAGGGTGAAGTTGCGGAGCTCCGCCCGTGAGCCGGCGTGAGCTGGACCTGCTTGCTCCTCGTCGTGCTGCTCTCCCTCACCGGTCTCACCACCGCTCAGGTCCTTGCTACATGTTGCTCCTTCTCACACCTGGCTCTCACACCTTCCTTCGTGGGCTTGGAAGACTTGTTGTCTTCCTCTGAAGTTAGCTGAAGCGTCCTTCTGGCCTCATCTAGATAGCTTACCCTTTATAAGTTGGGTGTCCTTCCTTGCGGTGAATATTTTCTCAGAAGCGCCTTTAATTTTTCCGTCTTAGTGTTGTCACAGTTTTGTACTCGTCTTTATTGCATTAGACCTCTCATGAAGGCAGGGGCCGTGTTTACCCTGGTCATTGTTGAGTTCCCATCACTTAGCAAGGTGCATGGCATGTGGAGGGATCTCAGTGAATACTTCTTGGGTAAATGCTCTACGTGTAAAATATATCTTTTTTTTTCACATTTGATTAATTCTAATACATCTAAGTTTATACTTTATCATATGGCTTAAAAACGCTCATTATTTTTACTTTATGAAAAGGAACAAGCGTCAATCAACCTTGGAAAATTTATGTTATCTTTTCAGTGGTAATTTTCTATTTGTGCTCTATTAGTAAAGTTTTTACGACTTATGATTGTAATGTTTGTAGAGTACAAGTATATATAAAATATATAATTTCATTTATTCTTCTTTAGAATTAAAGATTAAAAGAGAATGTCTACTGTACTTTTTATCATGACAGCACTTGTGAGGTACTTACTGCTTTAAAAGCTGCTTCGGTCTTTCCGTCAATGAATCCTAAGGCATGCAGCGATAATTCTTAGCATGTTATGTATATATTTATCTATGTATATGTTTTTTCTTTTTCTCTTTATGCCGTAGATGCCCGTGCCCAGGAGTGGAATCTTGAAATAGAGTCTTCTTTTGATGTTGTCAGCTCAAAGCCAGTTTATGGTCACGTGATGGTGGCCCTCCCTAAGTTGCAAACACAGCAGACACAAGGCATCGAACTTCAGCCCGGGGAAAGGGTTGTTGAGCTGTTTGTGAAAATTAACAAGGTGAACGATGGCACTTCCTGAAAGTACTAGATAAAAAGCAATACTGTTCAGAAGAAATGCTTAGAAAGAAGGGACTGAGTATGAAAGAAAGATGTATTGTTTTCTGTTTTCTCCTTCACTTTTAACCTATCATATATTTTTTGGGTGTGCGAGCTAAGGAATGATTTTCCCAAATTTTAAGATTAAGAAAATGGAGAATATGTGATCAATTTGGCATCTTTTCCTCCCAAGAAGTCAGGTGTGTTACTTTTTTTTTTTTTTGCAGTATTTGTAGTATCCTAAACCTAAAATACATCCTAAGCATTATATTTAAATACAGTGAATATTTTTGGTGCCTGTAAATTATTTTGAACATTGGTGCTTATTCTGCACGCAGAATTCGAATTCTAAACTTATGGTCTTTCATGGGTAGGTGTGGGCTGGATTTTGCCTTTTCTTTTTCTTTCTTTTTATTCTTCTAATTGATAATTGTGAACTGAAAAGGATGGAGCAAGTCGACGTTCAGTAACTGTTCAGATAAAGTAAAAACTCAAAACAATTTTTAGTTTTCAGCTTGAAAGAAGTCAACCTCAAAGTCCAATTCTAAATGTTAAGAATGGGGAATAAATGTAAGTTTGAGTGTTAAAAATGGAAAGGGTTGTTTTTCTGAACACCTGTGTGTTCTGCTCTTTCCCTTCCATTTGGTGTATTGATCCATGCTAAAATCCTGGTGTGTTGATCTTTAAATATTATCTATGGATTGGTATCATTTGGCATGATAGAGGGAGGGTGATTTATCTTGTTTTAGAAACTAGAATTTCTGTGTTTGACTATGAAAAATTGATATAATGCTCTGAATCACTCTATTATTTTGCTGAAAATATGCCACAGATTTCTTAGAATGACTTATGTTATGTTTTAAAAGAATATTTCCGTAGAAACTTGGTGGCCTCATGGACATGGAAACCAGACTGGGTACAACATGACAATTCTTTTTGAACTGGATGGAGGCTTAAGTATTGAAAAATCAGCTAAGGTAAGCAAATGCTTTAAAATATTTTGTGGAAAAAAGTATATTTCTTATTAAATAGTAATACAGATTTTTTCGTATGAAAGGAAGAAACCAATAAAGCTCCTGTAACCCCACCACTCAGAGATAATCACTAGTAACAGTTATATGCATTCAAGACCTTCTGTGTGTGTGTATGTGTGTATGTATTTATTTATTTTTTATTGCGGTCATATTGGTTTATAACTGTATAAATTTCGGGTGTGCGTCGTTATATTTCAGTTTCTGTGTAGACTACATTGTGTTCACCACCAAAGTCTAGTTGCCGTCTGTCACTGTACACGCGTGCCCCTTTACCCCTTTCACCTTCCTCATGCCCCACTTCCCCTCTGGTAGTGGCTAATCTGTTCTCTGTATTTATGTGTTTGTTTGTTTGTTTATCTTCCACGTATGAGTGAAGTCATAGGGTATTTGTCTTTCTCTATCTGACTTATTTTGCTTATCATAATGTCCTCAAGGTCCATGCATGTTGTCCCAAATGGCAGTTTTTCATCTTTTTTTTTGGCTGAGTAGTTTTCCAATGTGTGTGTATATCTATATCTATATCTGTATTTATATCTATATATATGTATCTATATATGTAGATAGATTTACATCTATCTAAATATCTATACCACATCTTCTTTATCCATTCATCTGTTGATAGGCACTTGGGTTGTTTCAAGTCTTGGGTATTGTGAAAGATGCTGCAGTAAACATAGGGATGCATAAGTCTTTTTGAATTGTCAATTTCATGTTTTTTGGATAAATACTCAGAAGTGGAATAGCTGGATCATATGGTAGCTCTATTTTTAATTTTTTGAAGAGTTTCCATACAGTTTTTCATCATGGCTGCACCAGTTTGCACTCCCACCAGCAGGGTATGAGGGTTCCCTTTTCTCCATATCCTCTCCAACACTTGTTATTTCTTGTCTTTTTAATAATAGCCATTCTGACAGTTGTGAGGTAATATCTTATTGTGGTTTTGATTTGCATTTCTCTAATAATTAGTGATGTTGAACATCTTTTTTTTTTTTTTTGAGGAAGATTAGCGCTGAGCTAACATCTGCTTTCAATCCTCCTCTGTTTTGCTGAGGAAGACTGGCCCTGAGCTAACATCCGTGCCCATCTTCCTCTGTTTTATGTGGGATGCCTGCCACAGCATGGCTTGATAAGTGGTGCATAGGTCCGTACCCAGGATCCAAACTGGCAAACCCTGGGCCACCAAAGCAGAATGTGCGAACTTAACCGCTACACCACTGGGCTGGCCCCCGAACATCTTTTTATGTGCCTGTTAGCCATCTGTAAATCTTTGGAAAAATGTTTAATTGGGTAGTTTGTCTTTTTGTTGTTAAGCTGTATGAGTTTTTAATATATTTTGGATATTAAGCCCTTATCTAAGATTTGCAAGTATCTTTTCCCAGTTGGCAGATTGTCATTTCATTTTGTTGATGGTTTCCTTTGCTGTGCAGAAGCTTTTTAGTTTGTTGTAGTCCCATTTGTTTAATTTTTCTATTGTTTCCCATACCTGAGGAGACATAGTATTCAAAATGATACTGCTAAGACTGATGTCAAAGAGTGTACTGCCTATGTTTTCTTCTAGAAGTTTCATGGTTTCAGGTCTTACATTCAAGTCTGTAATCCATTTTCAGTTAATTTTTGTGTGTGGTGTAAGATAATGGTCTACTTTCATTCTTTTGCATGTGGCTGTCCAGTTTTCCCAACACCGTTTACTGAAGAGACTTTCCTTTCTCCATTGTATGTTCTTGGCTCCTTTGTTGAAAATTAGCTGTCCATAGTCGTGTGGGTGTATCTCTGGGCTCTCAGTTCTGTTCCATCGATCTGTGTTTCTGTTTTGGTGCCAGTACCATGCTGTTTTGATTACTATGGCTTTGTAGTATATTTTGAAGTCAGGGAGTGTGATACCTCCAGCTTTTTTTTTTTTCCTCAGGTTGTTTTGGCTATTTGGGCTCTTTTGTTGTTCCATATAAATTTTGGGATTCTTTGTTCTAGTTCTGTGAAAAATGTTGCTGGGATTCTGATTAGGATTGCATTGAATCTTTAGATTGCCTTAGGTTATATGGGCATTTTAACTGTGTTCATTCTTCCAAACCATGAGCATGGAATATCTTTCCATTTCTTTGAGTCTTCTTTGATTTCTTTCAACAACATCTTATAGTTTTGAGTCATTCACCTCCTTGGTTAAATTTATTCTTTTTGTTGTGATTGTAAATTGGATTGTAATCTTGTTTTCTCTTTCTGCTAGTTTGTTGTTAGTGTATAGAAATGCAACTGATTCATAATTTTTCATTCATTATCTTTGTTCTGTTTTTCTGGTGCTACTATTAATTAGATGTTGGATCTCCTGGACTGAGCAATATTCTTAGATTTTCCCTTCCATAATCCATCTCTTTTTTATTTTATCTGCTGGGAGATTTACTTGATTTTTATCTTCAATTTTTTAAATTAGGTATTTTATTTTTATTATCACTTAAAAATTTCTAAAAAGGTTTTTATTTTATTTAAAAAATTGCATCCTCATTGTATTTTATGGTTGTAAGATCTTCTCATTTCTGTTAGAATGTTAATTATTATAATAAGTATTTTTGAAGTTTTCTCTGCATTGTTTTTGTTTTCCATATTCCTTTCTTTCTTCTGTTTGTTTTGGTCTCTGTCTTTCCTACTAGAGACTTTGCTTGAATGTCTGGTGATCCAGTTCATTCTGAAGATTAAGGTGCAGAAACACAGATGATATATGAGCTTCAGTGTTCAATATTCAGGTGGAAACACAGCTTTATCACGTGGTGCTGCCCACATGTCAGTAGCTATAGATCTTGTGTGTGTGTGTGTCTGTGTTACGCTTTGCCAGTGAGGACGCTTTTCAGTCTCTTGCCTGGGCATATAAGACTGGTTGTTACTATTCAAGGAGTCTAGTGACAGAAGGGGATTAAAGTTCTGACCGTGGTGCACAGAGTTTGATCACTTCCCCCCTTGCAGTGTGCTTCGTGTCCTCTAGCCTCTCTGATTCTGAAAGTCAAAATGATGGGCGAGCTTCAGGAGCCCCTTCTCCTAAGCAGTGTACTTGAGTTCTGCTGTTAGAATTAAAATACCTTACAGGTTATTACACATAAAACTGCCCCTCTATGTCACTTTAAAAATTCTGAAATTGAGTCCGATTGGACCTGGAGCCATCTGGAGAATTAGCCTTGTCCTGTAAAGTGATGCTCTCAGAGCCTCTCTGGAGAAGGACCCGCCCTCCCCGGCCCCCATCTATCAGGGACCGATGTTTTAAAAATATACAATAAGATGTTCCCCCCTGAAGATATAATCATTTGTTTTGCCTCTAAACCTACAAATAAGCCTTATGGTAACCTCAGCTGGAGGATATTGAAAGAAAAACTGTGACTTTAGTGTAAAGAAATGGCTAGGTCCTGCCCCGGTTGCGATACAGCACCAAGTACTGGAAAGAACTCTGATGTCACCTTGCACATTTGGTGTCACCTCTCCTGTGGGCCACACATGCTGAGTTTGGAGAGATACCCTTCATGAGCACATTGCCTAGTTTTCCTTTGTTTAATCTGCTCTGTAATTTGAGACAGTATGAGTGTGTGTTTATAGTATATTCAGGGAGAATGTCCTAGAGATGTCTAAAGAGCCAAAATGTCCACTCTTTTTCCGACCCTCTTGGCAAAAGATATGTGCCCTCACACATGTTGAGTTTGTTATGTGTCATCTTCATGAAAGTGTAAAAGACAGTGAGTCACTCCAACTTACCATAGAGAAAGAAGAGGAACTTCTGTGTTTTTCTCTGTGGGAAATAGCTTTTTTCATTTAGGCTACTATGGGTGCATCACTGTGCATTACACATAAAGATGCCACTCTTTGAATGATCCGTAGCAGGAGAGAAGGAAGATGTGTTGCCCCACACCTTGTGTTCATGAGTATCTGTGAGATGTGCCCTTTGGCTGTGGCTGCTGTAGAATTTGTTATTTCGAGGCTCGTTCATTCACTAAATACTCCGGGAGCATCCACTGTGTTTCAGCCCCTTTACTGGGCCCTGGTGGTAGAGCAGCGAGTTAGACACTGTTTCTGTTTCTCTCCGAGATCTTTTTTTTTTTTTTTAAAGCTTGGCACCTGAGCTAACAACTGTGGCCAATCTTTTTTTTTCTGCTTTATCTCCCCAAATCCCCCCGGTACATAGTTGTATATCTTAGTTGCAGGTCCTTCTAGTTGTGGCATGTGGGACGCCGCCTCAACGTGGCCTGACGAGCGGTGCCATGTCCGCGCCCAGGATCCGAACCAGCGAAACCCTGGGCCACCGCAGCAGAGCGCGCGAACTTAACCACTCGGCCACGGGGCCGGCCCCTCTCTCCGAAATCTTAATAAAGCTAATAATTTGGTTGGGAAATTAAATAATTTAAACAAGCCATTGCAATAAAGCATGTTAGAACTCTAGAGAAATAGAGAGCACTGTGGGAGCACAGAGCAGGGGCATCTGGGAAGATTCCTGGAGAAGGAGATATCTGTGTCCTGAGGGATAAATAGAATTGACCAGGCAACATAGCAGAAGTCCTTGCAAGACTACGTTAGGGCTCAGGGACTCGAAGGAATGCTGTGTGTTTGTGCAGGTGAAAGAGATTTCAGTGTGACTGTGTTTGACTTTGAAGTGGAACAATGGATGATGTCATAAAGGTAGGTGAGGGCAAGCTCTTGCAGGGCCTAGGAAGCCCTGTGAAGGAAGTAGACTGTCCTGAGGTCATGGGAAGTCTTTGAAGGGTTTTAAGGAGAGAGCAATGACATGTTTGTTTTACCAAGATTGTGTAGATCAAATTGGAAGAATGACCGGAGTGGGAGGCCAGTTAGGAGCTATGGTTTAATTCAGGCACAAGATGATGATTGCTTGGTCTGGAAAATTGCTGAGGAAAGAGGTTTGAGAGAGATTTAAGAGGTAATACCATCAGGCTTGTTGGTGTGGAGATGGGAGAGAA